GGTAAAGAAGTTAAATGAATGTGACGTGCATGTTTTCTTGTTGTTCCTGTCCTAATCTTTTGGGTAGCATTTCTGTGAAGGCTGTAATAGCCGTGCCGTGCCACCTCGCGGGTGGATGAGATGATCTTTTCAGCTCGCAGCTGGCGTTAGCGAACCGCACAGAGATTCTCAGGAGTTGCGCTGACAGGTGCTATGCAGCTCGTGGCTTTTTTTTGGTGATCCTGAGTGCTCTCAACAACATCCCATCGATCAGTGGAAAGATAAGCTTTATCCTTTCATCTGTGATGAAGAAATTAGAGGGATTTTGTCTTGCCTAGAAGATTTTGAACTAGCAAAATAAATTTAAAACAATGCAAGCCTTGCGACAAGTAGTATATTGAAACACTCATGAAAACCTGCAGTGTAGTCTCATTGGATGATGAGATACATGGATATAGGTTACATTACCTGGATACAAGTAATTGGTGAGCTCTTTGTACTCGGTTACATAGCTGTGATGGAAAAGATTTTAGAAATTATGTAACGCTAGAAATACTTATGGATCTGCTACAAAATAGAAATTAAACCTAGGGGGGCAGCAAAATATTTATCAAAATTATCTGGTTTTCTCTGCTTCACATTATTCAGATTATGCCCCCTCCCTGGAAGTGTTCAAGGCCAGGTTGGATGGGGGTCTGAGTAACCTGGTCTAGTGGAAGGTGTCACTGCCCATGGGGTTGGAACTGGATGATGTGTAAGGTCCCTTCCAACCCAAACCATTCTATGATTCTGTGATTCACGGATTCTTTGTCATTCCCTTTTTTAACCTTTTTTGTTTGTATCAAACCTGACAAGAAATTGCATGAAATGTAAAGACATATCATTTGGTAGGTGTGTTCAAATTGACATGGTGGAACAGAGAACAAATCAGGATTTTGGGGCCTGTGAACTCAAAAGTCTCTTTGTCTTTTCCATCTGCTTTGGCTGGTCTATTTACAGACACCAGCTCCTCCTCTTCCTCCTCCTGGTCTTCCCTCAGAGACTGTCTTCTGATCCCGCAGCACAGAATTAAGAACTGGATGCTCCCCAGGTCTCCACAAATAGCTTGGGCGTTTGCTTTGAGCCCTTCAGTGCTTGCCAGGAATGACAAATCCTCTGCTAATTCTCACTGACGTTGTGATTGCAGGACATAAACGCTTCAATGACAAACAGCACGGTGACAAGCAAACCGCCTGTAACACTGCGGCTCGTCGTCCCGGCGAGTCAGTGTGGATCCCTTATAGGAAAAGGAGGTTCCAAAATCAAAGAAATCAGGGAGGTAAGTCTTGGGATGTCTGCTGGGGACACTGGCTAGCTCGGTGTCCTGCCACAGCGTGCCCTGCCAGCATCATCCACCGCACTTTGCTCATCGCACGAACGTGAGCATGTGCTATGTGAAAAGCCTGGAAAAGCCTTGCGCTGGGAGAAGCAGGGGGCCAGCAGAGCTGTACCCTTGTGCTTCCCTTAAAACTAAGGACTGTGTGTGAAGTAAAGAAACATCTTTAGAATGTATTAGTCTTAGCTGTGCAACTTAGCAAAGCAACGGTTTAGCAACAGAAATGGCTCTTTAAGTTTCTCTTCAGGCACAGCCCCCTCCCCAGCAATGCTCAGGTGATCCAAGTCGGAATGTTGCAGCCATTTCCAAATTAGTTACCACCCTGGCAGCCAGAGAAAGGCCCAAGTAGCACTGGGGAGTCCAGGTTAGTAGATCAAACGCTTGATCTACTTTTTAGAAAAACTTGATTTTCGTGCTCCTTTCCTGTTTCTTCCCAATTTCACTGTGGCACAGGTGACCTGATTTCATGTATTCCAAACAGGTATTGATTTTTTTTTTTAATCCAGACTTTATCTAAAGGTATTCATTCAGTGTGCTCTGTTAGCAGCCACTTTTCCCTCTAACGAAAAAACGCAAAAATTATCACATATGGTGCCAGTTTTAATTTTTCCGTGCATGACTGTAACAACATAGCACATGCCAAGCACAGGATCCAATGTTTGTAATCAGTCAAACAAGAAAATTAGGTACATGCTCAGTTGTGTAGAGAAAAACTGAATAGGACATTTCAGAAAAATGGGGGTTTATTCTGGAGAGAGTGACAGTACTCCTAAATTTGTATTCATTCCAATATGGGATGAGGTGTTGAATATCAAGATAACATGCTAATCCATTTTTTTTATTTGACTATGTCAAAATAAAAGCTACCACACTGAAAATTCATTTTTTTAATCTAAAATGTAGATTCAAGACAGTAGGTTTTATTGAACTTTCAAGTTTCATTTAAAACATAAAAAAAAAGTTACCAGACATTTTTGTATGAAAGACAATTTCATCAAATGTTGAGAAAAATGCTTTGATCAAAATTATGCGTCCAACATTTGCTGTGAAATGTTAGTTTATGGTAGCCTTGGAAGGAAAGGTGATCACAGAGGACAGTTAGGTGTCTTACCCGTGTTGACTTTCAAGTTCTTCCGAATTATTTCATTTGGATTCAAATTTGATTTTCCTAGGAGTTTTTTTAACAAAGTTCCCTCTGAAGGCTTATCTTCACCTTTCAGGATCTGGCCTCTACTGAGGGGGTCTTTCCCCTCCTTGCACACAGGGAAGTAAAAGCAGCGTGTACCACTTCCATTAGCTGACAGAGCTGTCGAAAGCTGTTTCAGCGCTTTTGTTGCCAACCAAACAACACATTGTTCCTCCATGTGCCTCTTGCTTTGTAAACTGTGCTCATGAAAACACGCATAGGTTATCTGCTGTAAACTCACAGAAAACCGGTTCAGAGCCCTGCCGTTTGAAGGGGTCTCTGTGCTTACTGAGACCTGCAAGTCAAAGACAATTACAAATCAGATTTTTTTTTTTTCCTTGGATTGCTGTTACTTTATTTTTCAGCAAAGAGTGCGGGAGCTATGCCTCTCAGTAGTCCTTATTATCAAACCAGCTTTTGAGATGCAGGAGGAATTACTCACTTGATGGCACTGAGGGGAAAAAAACATGATTTCTGTGCAGATGTCAGGGTCATAGGAAACCCTCTCTCTTTTTAATCTCCAAAAAAGCTTTGTCAGAGAACTTTGTATAGATGGGAGAAGATTCTGGTGTGTTGAAGTGCATTCCCAGGCTGGGAGAAAGGTGTTTGGTTTGCCTTCTGCACGGGACGTTCCTGGCTTGGGTTCTGGACGGCTGCCAGACTGCTGGCATTTGCAGCAGTTCGTGTCCAGCGAGTCGGCCGAGCGGCCACACGCCCTCGCCCTGGGAGGTAGCCGGCGAAACCGGGCTGCAGCCTTGCCGCTGGAGAAGGCAGAGCTGCTGTCAGAGCACACAGCCACGAGACGTGATTTCTCTCAGTCCTCCAGATCTCTGAGGTGTCCAGGAGGACTGTCAGGCAACAGGAATCCAGCTGATTTCTCAGTTGCGTTAAGATAGGAGGAGGCTTGAGTGTGAACTGTGTGCTGGTGAGTGCTTAGCTCTAGATTTTACAGCTGTCGATTCTTTGGATTTTATTTTAAATATTGGTAACCTCATCCAGAGCACTGAGGAGTGCTTGTAGGACATGTCACCCTACACATTTTCTTAAGCATAAGGGTAATGGACAAAATACAACTTGTTTTTATATTGCTGATGTATGACCAAAGTCAAAGAGTAAACAAGATTGGCTCTGAAAGCAAATACATAAATGATTTCTGTATTTGGCAGAGTATTTTGTGCTAGATGTACAGATATGCAGAACTGAGCGTTAAACAGCAAATACGATCAAACAGAACGAAAAGGAGCATCCAGCTCGACATGTGGTCTAATTCATCATCACACAACACACTGAGCAGCAGTTGCACAAAGGATGGTCTTTTGTGTTCGGTCATGTACCCGGGAACAACATGCAGGGTTGCAGTACTGTTTTCAAGATAAGCTTACAATAAAGAAGAAAAGAGAAGCATGACTGATTGATGAAATTAAGGCAAAATTCCAAAGCCTATTATAGAGCAAGGAACCTGTATTCTGGCCTTAAACAGCACTAGTGAACAGAAGATGCAATCAGTAATTTAATCAGTGTGTGGAAAGAAGAATAATATGTGTTGTACGTAACCACCAGGAAAACAAATTAACTCCTTGCTGACTGACACAAAGTCAATGGTTGCTGAAAATACTTTTTGTTTAAAAGCCAAAAATATTGCATTGCAAGAACAGTCAGGAATAGATTTTGTTTGTAATACGTGAAAGTGCTAACTGAATATGAAATGCCTGGGTTTTTCTCTGTTGGCTGAAAAGGTCTTCCAGGATGTTTGTGAAATCATGCCAGGGATTGTTTTGGCCTCATGTATTTTTTTCTTTCTTTAGGCTTTGTTTGGGGGTTTTTTTGTTAACTAAGATAAATTAATGCCAAGATCAAATTTAAAAAAAAAAAAGAGAAAACAACGCCACCTCAATATCTCCTTGGGTTCATTAATGAGCTAAAAGTTGATGATGTGCATATATTTAATCAAAACTAATTATAATTTAGAAGTGCTTCTGTACCATCCTGAGATACTCCAGAGCATAAAGCAGCCCCCAAATTTCATCCAGAGACACAAGTCAGCTCTCAGTGGATTGAAGAGCCATTGATCTGCGACTCATTTGATTAGCAGACCTTCTTCAGTTATCAGCATTTTTTTTCCTTTTTTTTTAATTATTGAGAAGCACTTCATCTCACCTTTTTCATTTTTAGTCAGCATTGCAACTGTCTGTCTTTGAGAGGGTTAAAAGACTTGTCCTGAAATTCAGGTCACAGTTTGATTCATCAACAGCTACCAAAGACTAATCTTCCTAGGTTGGGAGCGTTTGCAAATTGGCTCGAACAGGCAAATCCGTGTCCTGCCAGACCCCAGTGACCCTGTCTGGGCAGGAGTTTGCATACACGCTCTAGCATGTATCTAGCCAGGAAAAGACAGAAGTTTAGGGGTGCATCCCCTCCACCCCACCAGCGCATCCCCGCCTTTGGAGAGGCTCCGTTGCCTGCCCGATGGTGACGCTCTCTTTGCTTTGTCTCTGCCCAAGTCCACAGGGGCCCAGGTGCAGGTGGCGGGGGACATGTTGCCGAACTCGACGGAGCGCGCAGTGACTATATCGGGCACTCCCGACGCCATTATCCAGTGCGTGAAACAAATATGCGTTGTTATGCTGGAGGTAAGTGAGCGTTTGGCACATTGCCTCTCACTCGGGAGATGCTCAAGCACATTATTAATTTTCAAGTGCCCTGGGTTCCCCAGGGGTGCTGCCTGCCCTTCCCCTGCCGGGGATTTGGAGAGGACTCTTGTTAGACTGTGCCCTGCCTGGTGCTGGAGAGCCTCTCACAGCAGGCTTCAGCAATCAAAGACCAGGGCTGTCATGACACTGTCAAACAACAAACCAGATCCAGCAGGGAGCTGCAGCCCATTCCGAGAGAAAAGCATTTTATTCTGATGCAGAATAGGGCAGAAAACATCAAGGTCTTGTTTTAAAAAGAAAAAATTCTGACTAACGTAATTTAGATTTACCAGGACTTTTTGCTTCCTTAGGGTCAGGTCATTGCGTAAGGCCAGAACGTTTCATTTTGATGGCATTTTTTTAGCTCTTGGATTAAAGGATACAAAATCAATTTATATGAAAATCTGGGCATTTTTTAACCCTTGCTGGAAATGCCCATAATTTCATGCAAGTACATTTCTCAACTGATTAAATTGAATAGAAATTTAAAAAAATTATATTTCAGCAAATCAAAATTAAATATTTTGACCTAGTAACTATAATTTTTGACAAGGAACATGAAACATCTGCTTTTATCACATCTTCTGCTGAAAAAATTTCTGTGGTTTTTTTGTTTGGTTTGGTTTTTTACCTAAGTCTCGTCAAGGGCTGTCTCATGATGATCTCTGGCACCTACTGTTCCGTTATTCTTTACAGAGGGGAGAAACAGTGGTGTGTTTGAGACAGCACTGCGACTATTGGCTTTTCAGAAGTATCCAATGCATCAAAATGACATCCAGCCTTTGCATCAAAATGACATACAGCCTAATGCAAACAAAAGCATAAAAACTAATAAAGCCCTGGTGTTTTACTGAGGAAAAGTGACTTTTGCTTTAGTTTTTGCTGGACTACTGTGAGGAAGGAATTTCTTTATAGAAGTGCAAGAGAACAGAAAGATCATACAAAAAAATCATTTTAGTTTGTCAGAGATGGAGTACGTGACGGCAGTGGTTATCAGCTCTATGAAGGCAGTGTATAGTCTATTGTCGAAGTGGCATTCGTGGAATAAATAGTTATTTGCTAAAGAAGATGAGAGAAGCCACTTCTCAAAACCAGAGGGACACAGTCCTGTTTTCCCACCAGTAGAGCCACTTTTTAAACAACCAGTTTTGACACAAGAAGTACTTAATTTTAGCATTAGACAAATTGCAAGCAGTACTAAGAAGACACTGGTTTAACTACATTTTGCTGCTTCAAACATTGAAGAAAATGAATGTGCTCTAGTTTGCAACATGTATTTAATTTGGCAACAAGCACTTTCATTGACACAAAATATCTAATTATATGGTATTAGTTAATGGAAGCGGTATTGTTCTTACCTTCTTTAGTTGTAGTTAATGCACTGAAATTAGGGTATCATTCTGCTAGGTGTTGCACAGACAGTTTGAAGCCTTTTTTCTAGACACATGCTCCTGCTTTATTTACTAGGAGAAAGTTAGCCTCCGTCAGGCATTATCCCTTTGGGTCCTTGCCTTGGGCCGCGGGGAACAAACTCCCTCTTCACGCATTATGAAGGCTGGGGTTATGCTCCGGCTGAAGCCGGTGGGATGTTTCTCCGATCTTCCAGCTCAGTCAGACGAAAGGCAGGATGATGCTGGTCATTTGCAGTTGAACAGCTGACTTAATTGAGTTGGTAAAACAAGAAACCTTGGTGTATAGCAGGGTAGGAGAGATTGGTAAGCAGCAGATGTGCTCTGTGTTAAAGAAAGCGAGAGCACAGGCAGGATTCTTCCAAAACATCAACAAATTTCAAAATTGTGCCCGTGTTTCCTCTAATGCCTTGACACACTTCGTGAAGCTTCATAGCTTCATCCGACGATGGCGGTAGTGAAGCCACGAGTACCAGCGCTGCCCATTTTGGCTGTGCAGTTGGGACCGCAGCTCTTCCCCTCGAAGCCCGGGCAACCGGCCTGCGGCTCGCGTTTGGGCTGATGGGGTGGAGGGGAGGGTGGGCTGGGTGAGCTGCGTGCCTTGTTGTCTGAGGTGACTGTGGTAAGGAGTAATTTTTGAATTCGAGCTCTGCTTCATTCTACATTTTGATCGCTTTGTGTTTTTGTCTGCAGTCCCCACCCAAAGGTGCCACCATCCCCTACCGCCCCAAACCTGCCTCTGCACCTATCATTTTTGCAGGTGGCCAGGTAAGAGCAGACACCATTTTGGCTTCAGCTGGAAACCACACCGTCTTGGCCCAACCTCAGCCAGCGCCTGTTAGTTTTCAACTTTTACTCTTTTTTTGCCTGGTATAGTATTGATGTCCTTTGTCTACTCTGTGTGCTTACAGTTTGCAGGGAAGGAGAACACTGCATTGGAAACCTGACGCAAAATTGTGATGACTGGTATTTTATCAAGATTTAAAAACAACTTCTGTAATTAGGAAAAGTTTGTCCTTCTGCAAATCGAGAGGTGTCCAAATCAGATGCTCCAAGAGTGGGACAAAACTGCTTATTTTAGGGGTTGTTTTCTTCACTATTAATGTGCAGCTCCACTAGCAGTATAAGCAGTTTTGTCTAATTTCAGAGATGATCAAAAAGCAGGATGCCTTTGCTCATGAAAGACATCATTTTTCTCTCATAGTTTTCACATTTTTTAGGACCAAAGAGTGCACTTTGCAGTAAAAATCTACACACACATAATTTCTGCTGCTTGTAGTCCCTCAGGACCCAGTAGCAGTGGGGTTCTGATGTTACGGGAGCTACGTCCATGCAAGTGCAGACCTTCCTAACCATGGCATGCAGCAGCCTGATTGATAACACAGAGCGTTCCTGTTTGTTTTTTATATAGGGAAGTTTTGGCGATTTCATCTTAAGCTATATCAGTCAAGGTTCTCATCTGCCTTTAAAATCCCATGCGCAATGTGACTCTTCCTTGTCTTTTGATAATACTCTTTCACAATAAGGCACCCCTGTCCAGCCACGTCTTTTCCCCAAGATGACAGCAAGGCCCCTTTTTGAGCAGCTACCCAGTGGGAAGAGCCACTCACCTCGTGGTGGAACTTTGAGGTCCCACCTCCCATCCCTCTAGCCCAGCCCAGGTCATTACCCTGTCGTGGGCTGTGGGCTGGTGGCACCCACATCTCACCCCAGTAGGCAATTCGGAGTTCATATGAGAAGCTGGACACAGGGTTCCTGGTGGGGCAGAGGGCACAAGATGCTGCTGGTGGTGTTGGTGGTATGATGACTCACGCCACCACAACCTGCCAGCTTGTGAGGAAGCTCCTGCACATCTCAAGCATACGCCACAGCGCCATTGCTTCTGACAGGCCCTTGTAATGAGCTTTCTCCGAATTTTTGTCTCAGAGTTTTACCTTCGACTCTGTAACGATACGTTGTGATGTATATCCAGATTTTCAGAATCTGGCTGTAGCAGCTTTCAGTTCCTGGTGTTCAAGCCTGCAACTCTTAGTTGTCTTCAAAATAAGAGATCTGCTTCCTTAGTGACCAAAGTTGATTGAGATTTAATATAATTTGCCAGAAATTTGCCTATGGCTGAAAATTCAGAACAATTTACTCCATATATATGTTTACACTGCAGTGCTTTCTTTTAAAATTATGTGTGTATATATATGCGACAGCCGATTACCAGTATTGTAATTACCACTGCCTTCAAAGGCAGTCTCTGTATATGATTATTCAAAAGTATTGAAACTGTTTGCTAGAGCGCTCTGAGCAGATTGTATAAATAATTGAAAGTGTCCTGTTTTAAGGTCTAATAGCACTTGTCATCTTCAGTTTTAACAGTTAAAAAAATGCTCTTGCTTTTCTAACGCAACCTTGTTGATGTGAGAAAGAGTGTAAGAGACAGACACTTTCTGTGTGCTCTGACTGAGCACACTTTTTAAGAAAAGGTGTTTGGGCATCCGTATGGAAAGATACTTTAACCAGGTTTCATAAGTGGAAAGTAATACTGAAAATAAAGTGTTATCAGCAGTGTTAATTCCATCCAGCCTTTTGGCTACGCTATCTGAAGTTGTTTTTCCATTCTGAGTTATGTCGTAGCTATCTTGAAAGGTTTTGGTTTGTTTAATGCTTGCCTATCAAGCAACACTAGCAAAATCAATTTTCTAGTTTTCCTGAACACGTTGGGGTTCTTCTGCTTTAAGCATTGCTTTTAATTCTCTTGTGCTTCTTCGATAACTGTACTGCATGACAGAACTAAAAGGAAGCTGAACACTGTCCTGCCCTGCTCTGCCCCCTACCAATATTTAGCATATGCAGTGGTCAAAAAGAACATAAATCCAACACTCCTGCCTGATGAAAACAAATTGGAAATTTCTACCCACTGTGCTGCATTGCTGTTTAAATGGGTACTCACAGAGTACAGCTTTGCTTTATGTCTTATAGCAGCTTTATGGTTTAAATTGAGGAAGATTTGTAGACCAGGTCATTCC